AGCAGCACTTTCAACAACAGCCAAATTATGGAAAGAGCCTAAATCTCCATCAAGTGATGAATGGATAAAGAAATCGTGGTTTATATACACAATGGAATGAGTTTGGGCAGGAACATGAGCAGAGAGGACCTGGGAGGCATTTCTAAAAGACGGCTTCAGGTTTCAAGAAGTCTTAAGGCATCGGGAAAACATTGCAGCTTTAGAATATTTATTGGGTTTTTAATCAATTCTATATGGTGGATGTGAGGTTTTTTTTCTGTAGCTCAAACGTGGAAGAGTTTATTAGTTAACCAGATATCACTGAGAGAATTTAAAATACTGTTACTACCAAGATTTTTATTAATAAAGCCTTCTATTTTGGTAACACTTCTCTTATATTTTTACTTACAGGAATGTTACTGTTGGACAAGTTACCACTTTAACGCTTGTAAAAACAAGTCTCCTAGATGACATGAGCTCTAAATTTGCAGCAATTACCTAACCAATTACAAGTTTCTCAAGCACCAGAGAAACACAGGAAATGTTTCACCAAAGAAAGGGCGAGCAAAAGTGTTTGTCTTGAACATGCGGTTGGGTGTGATATGATTCCTTACCCGTCGCCAACTGTGATCGAAGTCCGTAGGTGCCATAGATTCTCGCTATTTTTTGCTAGCTCAAGGTCCGATGCTTCTGTTTTCTCTTGTACAGTGAGTAGCTTGAAATGGGGTTTGTATATAAACCTTGTATTAAAATTAGGTGATGCCAAATCCTTTTATGGAAACCACTTTTTTAAAAAAAAAAAAAAAAAAAAAAAAGAGTTGTACACAAATCCGCGAGAGGATCGCGGCGAAGGTTCACTCAACTAAATAAATTTGGATACGACCACTTAACTTCAGTTGAGCGCTGTCCGTGTCTCGCCCCGGAAGCCGAGGCGGCTGTCCTCGAACCCCGGTCGAGCTGCGCTGGGAGGATCATAGGCATCCATTTCCTCCCGTGTCGAATGCGTGGATTGTTCTAGATGTTCCTGGGACTCCCTGCGCCCTGTAAGAGCGTGTGTGCACGTGTGTGGTTTTGCATGTGCTACCCAGTGTCTGCCTGTGCTGCATGACAATGTGTTGATGTTTGAAGCGTTATTTTGCGTGTGCACACGCGGTGTGTGCACCAAATGTGTGTGCCTCTGTGTGTGTGTGTGCACCATTTATGTTGGGATAAATTCGTCGCCTTTCCAGCAGCCTCTTTCCACCATCGCCGCCCTCAAGTTCCCACCCGGTCCCGCCAACCCAACACAGTACTGAGGATTCCATGGACTCATGTCCCCAACCGGGGACCCACCTAGGATTGCGGTGTTTTCACTGGGGCACGTCAGTACACTTTTAAACTACCACCTAGAAACACAACCATTTCACGAAGGAAAGGTATTTTTTCACACCCAAGGGGCTAGCAAAGCCACACAGCCCTGCTGGCCGAGGGACCTTCCTTCCGCCTCACGTGCGTCCGGCACCAGGGAGAGCTTTACGCCTAGTGCTCACGTTCCGCATCCCCAAGAACACGCAGCAAAGCACAAGCTCAATGCCCTGAGCATCCTTCTCAAGCTCTGGAACCGCTTCCTTAGTCTAGACATGAAGGCAACGTTCGGGGACAACATGTAAGGACGATGAGGGCTCTGGTGAGATCTTTAGCCCCCGTTGTCAATGAAGAAACCGCCTCAGTGGGCAAGTGACTGGCCCGAGGTCACAGGCTCCTTAGCACCTAAGCCGAGACTGGCCCGGACCTTGTAGACAATTCATTCGCGGGGTTCAAGCAGACAGCAGTGGACAGCAGACCAGTCCTCCCCCAGGCTATGACTTCTTACGAAAGTGTGAGATGCTTAACCAGAAAATGAACCCAGAAAACAGATAGTTTCAGGAAAAAAGACACTGATGAGAAACAGAACATGCCTCAGTTAGTCAGAGAGGCCTGAGTAACAAGGAGGCAGCAGGACAGTTCAGGCAGTGATAGCAAGAACAGTCCACAAAAAACCCAGGAGAGCAAGATCTTGAACCCGCTATGGCTTTGAGGGAGGAAGGCTTAAAGTGGCAGGAAAGCGACAGGAGAGTAGGGACGAAGGGAAATGTAACGACTTCCACACAGGGCTCCCAAGCGACAGATCTGGACCTGAGCCTGGCGGTAAAATTCACTTCTATGAAAGAGGCTGGGTGGTGTGTTAACAGCCCGAGATAGGATCTGGATGTCAATTTTGAGCAGTCTTTACATTTATCAGGTGAAATCCTGCAGTGGGATAAGAGCCAAAAGGTGTTCCAGAGATCCAGGAGGCGATGGTTTGGATGGGGTCGGTAGAGGTGGGTGGAGAAAACGAGAGATGATGCCACAGAGACCGACTTCTGGCCTTGGAAGAGATCACCCGTCAGCCGGGCACTGTTAGCAACAATGGGGCCCAGAGAGGTCAGGGCCGCTACTGATCACAACAAGGGTAGCGACACACAGCAGTCGCTCTCGAACCCAGGCCCCGTGGCTAACGCTGAATGTTGTCTGCTACTGGTCCTGGAGTGGCGTGCCAGCCAGCAGGACAGTGATGGGCAACGGCCCGCGAGAGCCTGAGGTCTGGGGGGGCTTCGTGCTGGGACCTGCTTTGGGGCTCTCCCCCCCCCAACAGGCTGGAGCTGCCGTGAGCTACATCCCAACCCCATTCAATATCCGGTTTGGCAGGTTCAGTTTGCTCATTTTGTAGTTGATTTAATATGCAAAAGCAAGTAAACTACTGCCAAAGCCTTGAATTTGCATGTTCTGATTCTCAAGCCATCTGACAACACGGCCCATTTGCCTGTCACCTCTCCCAGATGACCGAGCCCCTGGTGCTGTGCTTTTAGATGGTGCATGCACCCTGTCTCCAGCCCCCCCTCCGCCCCCCCCCCAAGTGTGCCTGCCCACTGACTAAGCACACAGCCATCAGCCGAGTTCAGACCTGGGGCAGACTGATCCCACCGGATCAAGACAGCCGTGAGATTCCCTGAACAGAGCTTGGTCAGGTGTGCCTGGGACAGGGTGTGCCAGCCCAAGACTGGATTCAGAGCCCCTGCTCAATAACTTCCCCACCACCCCCACACGTTCATATGTGACAGGTCCCGGGAGTCATTGTGCCTTAAATAACCCCTACCTGATGGCGTGTGTCCCCTCACCAGGCACTCATTTACTTACCATGTTTTGTAAGAGCCACGGCTAAGTAAAGAAGCGCAAGCTCTTGTCAGAAAACAGGCCAGTAAGGGAAGTGGTGCAGTGCCAGGCACAGAGGAGCACCGAAAGTGTTGAATGAATGAATAAGTGAGTGAGGATGGACGGACGGACAGATGGATGGATGGATGAAGGAAGGACAGAAGGATGGATGGATAGATGGATAAACAGAGGTGGGTGGTTAGACGGAATGATGGCTATTTGGCGCATGGGTAGATGGATGGAGAAAGCAACAGACTGACAACTGGGCGCTCAACCGGGCCTGCCTTTGGGCTGCGTGGACCTTGGAGTCAACTGGCAGACGCATTGGTGGAGGAGGTAAGGGTGCCTTCTGGACCACAGGTATGTCCACAGCAACAGCCCATTCACTGTTCCTCCACACAGGCTTTTTTGGCTGGCGAGGTCGCGTGGCACCCGGCACTGACCCGGTCCAGCCCAGGATTCAGCCCCGGCTTGCTCAGACGGGCTGGTCGCCCCTGCCAGGCCGGCCAGGATGCACCCCTGGGGAAAGGCAACCTTGTGAGCCTTTGAGGTCTAATTTCCTCTGCTCTGCTAAGTAATCGATCTGCTGTGTCCCATTCTCAACCCCTTCTTTCTTTTGCCCCGTTTACTTCGCCTCCTGCAATGCTCTCCCCTACATTTTACTGAGGATGACGCACAGAAAACCGTTCAGCTTACATGTGATCAACTTCCACAGAAAACACACTCGCCTGTAGCCAGGATGCTCCCTTCTGGTCCCGGGTCTTTACCGGGCGGGCGGTGAAGCGGACCTGACCTGCGGCTGGCTTCCGGCCCCAGCGAGGCCTGCCTCGTTCCGCTTGTTGGTGTTGCTTCTGCCTGGCTGCCTGTGGGGGGCTGCACTGGGGCAGTGAAGCCTGTTAAATTATCACAAACTTCATGGCTTCAAACAACACAAATGTAATCAAGTTCTTGGTTTCTCTTTCTGTTGCTTCATTATGGATGTATAGAGACGCAACAGATTTCTGTACGCGGATCTCATATCTTGCGACTTTGCTGAATTCATGTATCAGTTCTAGCAGCTTTTTTGGTGAGTCTTTTCAGGTTTTCCATGCAGAGATATCGAAAGTGAAAGTCTGACTTCTTCTTTGCCAAATTGGACGCCTTTATTTCATTTTGTCGTCTGCTGATGCGAGGACTTCCAACACCATGTTAAACAACAGTGATGAGAGTAGACATCCCTGTCATGTTCTTGGTCTCCAGGGAGAAAAGAATCGATCCCATTTACAATGGTACAAAGAACCACAAGATTCCTAAACCTAACCAAGATGTAAAGAAACTAGAAAATCATGAACGAAACTTATGAAAGAAATTGAAGAAGACACAAAGAAATGGAAGAACATTCCGCGGCCATTGATTGGAAAACAAATATTGTTAAATGTCATTATTACCCAAAGCAATCCCACATTCAATGCAATCCCTATCAAAATAACAGCATTCTTCACAGAGCTAGAACAAATAATTTCCATACTTTTTTTTTTCCATACTTTCTATGGAACCAGAAAGACCCTGAATAGCCGAAGCAGCAATGTTAAAAAAAAAGCCAGAGGCATGGGCGCCAATTCGGTTAGCGTCCGACTTCAGCCAGGTCATGATCATGATGATTCGAGCCCCGGGTCAGGCTCTGGCTGATGGCTCAGAGCCTGGAGCCTGTTTCCGATTCTGTGTCTCCCTCTCTTTGCCCTCCCCGTTCATGCTCTGTCTCTCTGTCCCAAAATAAATAAATGTTGAAAAAAAAAAAAAAGAAAATAAAGCTGGAGGCATCACAATCCCAGACTTTAGCCCTACTACAAAGCAGTACTCATCAAGACAGTATGGTACTGGCACAAGAACAAGACACATAGACCAATGGAATAGGATAGAGAACCTGGAATTGGACCCACAAATGTGTATTAACCAATCTTTGACAAAGCAGGAAAGCGCATCCAGCGGCATAAAGACAGTCTCTTCAGCAAGTGGTGTGCTGGAAACTGGACGGCCATACATACTTCGCGAGCCTGGACCACTTTCTTACAGCAGACAAATAAACTCAAAATGGGTGAAAGACCTAAATGTAAGACAGGAAACCATGAACCCCAGAGGAGCCAAAAAACAGGCAACAACTTCTTTGACCTCAGCTGCCTGGTGCCTCTTGCTTGACATCTCCAAGGCAAAAGGGAAATAAAAGCAAAACGAACTGTTGGGGACCTCATCAAGATAAAAAAGCTTCCTTTTCAAAGGAAGCAATCAACAAAACTAAAGGCAACCAACGGAATGGGAAAGATGTTGCAACGACATATCGGATAAAGGGTTAGTATCCAAAACCTGTAAAGAACTTACCAAACTCAACACCCAAAAAACCAAACAATCCAGGAAGAAATGGGCAAAAGACATGAATAGACACTTTTCCAAAGAAGACATCCAGATGGCCGACAGACAGTGCTCAACGTCACTCCTCATCAGAGAAATACAAATCAAAACCACACTGAGATACCACCTCACGCTGGTCATAGTGGCTGAACTGAACAAATCAGGAGACTCTGGATGCTGGAGGATCTTGGGAGAAACGGGAACCCTCTTGCACTGTTGGTGGGAATGCAAACTGGTGCAGCTGCTCTGGAAAGCAGTGTGGAGGTTCCTCAAGAAATTAAAATTAGATCTACCCTATGACCCGGCAATAGCACTGCTAGGACTTTACCCAAGGGATACAGGAGGGCTGATGCACGGGGGCACTTGTACCCCAATGTTTATAGCAGCACTTTCAACAACAGCCAAATTATGGAAAGAGCCTAAATCTCCATCAAGTGATGAATGGATAAAGAAATCGTGGTTTATATACACAATGGAATACTATGTGGCAACGAGAAAGAATGAAATCTGGCCATTTGCAGCAACGTGGATGGAACTGGAGGGTATTATGCTAAGTGGAATAAGTCAGGCAGAGAAAGACGATATATGTTTTCACTAATACGTGGAACTTGAGAAACTTAAAGGCGCACCATGCGGGAAGGGAAGGGGAAAAAACAGTTTCAAACAGAGAGGGAGGCAAACCATTAGAGACTTCTAAATACAGAGAACAAACTGAGGGTTGATGGGAGGGCCGGGGGGAGGGGAAAATGGGACATGGGCATAAACAATGAATCATGGGAATCTACCCCCAAAGCCAAGAGCACACTGTCCACACTGTATATTAGCTAACTCGACAATAAATTTAAAAACACACACACGCGCAAATATATTATCTTACAGTTCCATGGGTGAAATGTCTGACACGGGCCTCACGGGCTCTACGCTTTCCACCATCTTCAAGGACTAGGTCCCTGGGAAAATCCAGAATCATCTCCCCATCTCAGAAGCTGAATCTTCACCACATATCCTGCCATATATTCTGTGTCTTCCCCATAAACTAACTTATTCACAATCC